AACCCTGTGAACTCTCAAATCGCGTCGGTGCAGTCTCTGGATGTAGTCAGGGTGTGGACATTAAATTTCATTCTTTTTTCTTCAAAGCGTCCGTTTCAGGCGGTTGAGGTTTAGACTATTCGTTGCTTAATCCTTTTGTTCATAAAGTCGATCGAAGTGAGATTCAGAGCAGAGGCGGTCCACCGGAGAGAACGGATTTCTCTGTGCGGTTTACACTCCAGTCCAGTGCGAGAGTGATGTGGCCCGGTGTGGTCAACCCAAACAAAACACAGTAACTGCATAGCTCGCATAGAGTTGATGACGAAGAGGATGATAAGTTGTATTTCACACACATCTGACTGTGTCTAAAACAAATCACTTTGCAATAATCGTTGTAAAGGAAGAAAAAAATCCATGATTTGCATGTGACGTTTCCCAGGTCAAAGCAGGTGAATTTTCTCGAGGAATCCACAACCGAAGCCATCGGCTAACCAAAGCCTGACTCGCAAGACAGCGGGATGGTGTGTTAAAACCACAATCTATTGTCATCGGGTCATACGTCCTTTAAACAGGATCAAGAGCCCTAGATGCCCTACCGAACCGGTGACCACTGCCACAACCAGGAAAGTGGTGGTGTGTTTGATACGCCTCCTCTTGATTGGTTTGGAATCAGGATTTTTAGCCACGGATATTGACTTTCCGTCCTCTCACTTTGGTAGGAAAACACCTCTGCCACGAGAACACAGTGAGTAGGCCTTCTTCAGTGAAAGCTATTTGCGACGCTAGGTCGTATCAGAGCATTTCACGAGATTGAAGGGAGGCGTGACCAGTCATAACTCAAGACACCCGTTCCCGACCATACTGAAGTTTTCGGAGGCTGAAGAGAAGCGATTACAAATCGCCGTTCTCCGTTACAAACAGGATCGTTCTGTTTGTGGTCTTTCTTCGTTCTTCTCCCCCATACTCCGTTTTGAAATGATGTATCCAGCGTGTCACAACTTTAAGATAAGAAAAACGGATTAGATGACAACACTTCTGCTCCTGTCACCGGCGGATCAAGATTGCATGTTGCTAGCGTTCACTTGCCCATAACTGACTTATGAAAGTATCGTTAAACGATCACATGATTCGGTGGAATGAAAATTGCCACGCCTTATAAGGCTGTAATAACTGTTAACAAGTTTACCGAGGAGGTATGTGTGAAAAATAGAATTAACTGGATTACAAGGAGGTATCCTCCCCATTGCTTTGCGAAACCATCTCAGAAAGAGAGAAACTATCCACAGGATAGAAACTTACGAGAGGGTAACTGAAAACTGACTGCTCTTGGTGAACTAATCGACTTGGTCGTGCTAACCGCGCGAATGGCCGAGCGTGTCGTCGGACCGACACGCAGCCGAACCGTACCGGTCCGTCTCACACAAACACCGGCCAAATCTGATCGTTCTCGGGCCAAATGCTCCGGTTGACTGGACCAACGTGGTAATCGAATAGCTGATTGAAAGGATGCACGGTGTGACGTGTTCGTAGCTCGGATCACATTGGACTGAGACGAGGAACGACGTGTGCGGGACACAACCAGAGCAGATCGAGTGGATTGTGGAGAAGAAGAGCCAGCACCGGAAGCGATGGATTCCGAAGATGAGTGTGTGGAAGACGAGAGTGGGGATGACGGGGAGTGGATTTTCAGAGCATCCGCTTCCTCATCGTCTGTGTAATCGTCCAGTGTTTTGCGCGGAGTGCAGATCAAGCCCAGGACGAAGAGCAAGATGAGCGGGATTATGCCGAGCGCTATCAGGTATAATCAGGGATGGTAAATGGAGAATATCAATCAATCGTTGAATGCCACACTTGACACAATATATGACTGAGTGATTGAACATTCGAAAGAATTTAATTGGAAGAAAACGATTCAAATAAATTAAACAATTTGAGGTCACAAAAATGGATATATTGGTCAAACTGGTTCAACGCACTGACTTTCATCACATTTGTTTCTCTCAATACTTAGGGTTTCGAGCCTCACTCAACGGATTAGAGACGATATTGCCCCACATCAAACGCAACATATCTGTAAGAATATTCACTTATATGTTTGCTTCCATTAACTGAGGGCCATTAAGATGTACGGTTTGTCGATTTCGACGACGGTTGCTGGGGCATCATTTGTAAGATAACAAAGCCACAGTAAGAAACACCAGTAGAAATTGTTTATCAAAATGACCCATAGACTTGATACCAGTAATGTACTTTCTTTTGGTTCATGTTCCATTTACCCTTCTTCATTTTTGATCACTGAAGGCAGTCGCTTTACCATGGTGTCCATCAAATTGACTGTCCAACAGGATTTGCCAGTTTCCTATAATACACGCCACACACAAACTACTAATTACCAAGGTTGAGGCAGATAACTTATCCATGCTTCTAAAACAGGGAAAAGTTTTCGATTACATTCGAATTCCAACTGCTGGACGGTAACTAACTGAATTCGACTTTAGAATTGACCCCACAAGAAACTGCATCAATTTGAAAAAAAAAACATTTAATGCTATCTAACCGTTATCTACTAACAACGTCAAGCGAGAAGATATGCTAACCTTCAAATGTGAAAAATATGACTTCCGCGGATGCCTGTTGAGAGTGAAAGTTATCGAAAACCTCCCTTATAGGTGCAAGAAATTCGGCGATATCCAAATTGGTGCGTGTACAGGAGAACAACAACGAGGCGCTCAGTATCTGCTTCCCTTCCAAGTCGTTTGGTGTGAGTTGTTTTTAGCTACATAATTTATCCATTTATTTAAGCTAGAATCTTTCATTAATCCGCTTAGTAACTGTGCACTGAATGAAAGCAGATAGGCTTTTCAGAAAACATGTGTTCAACCTAATTAGCACTCACGAAAAAGGAATTATTTATCAGACAGGATGAATTTTCATGCTGCTTCGCGTATTTTTTTTAAATTTTGAGCAGAAACTTTCAAACTAATAAAATTTTTATCGTGACACAAGGGGTCACGCACATTCTCCAGACGGTGATAGAAGAGAACTAAAACCATGGAAGTGGGCGATAAATTCAGGAAAAAAAATACTCTTCCCTCGTAGCCGTCATTATATACGTGTGAAATTGGAAACTGAAACATGTTTCCGAAATGAGTGTGATGTTGTACGAGTTTGATCAACACCTGTATATATTCTATAAAGATGTGCTGTTCAAAGAGAGAGAGAGAGAGGGGGGGGGGGAGAAAAGGAGNTGGAGGACGGAAATTGTTGGTACTCAGCTAGGAGAAGTGAATGAGTGTCTGTCTATGTGCTCAGTGAGAGAAATTGGAATGCGGCAAATCAGCTGTGGTCGCGTGACGAGAAGAACAAATGAGTCCCGGAGAACCGCATGCGCAGTGGTTTGATGCATGTGTACTGGAGAATCCTTCCTAGGGCTAATAGTCACGGACAAGTGAAAACAGTACGGAGAGAAAACCGGTTGGAAGTTGATCAATGTGAGCTAGTCAAAAATAATGATTTCTGTTCAAATACTTCATGCCAGCTATGTATGATGGATTCCCAGTAAAACGAATTGTCAGAGAGCATCAACGACCAGTAGGAAACTGCAAAAGGATAAAACCCTTCTATAGAACCTTAGTAGTGATGTACAGTGGAATGGAGTGCTAGTGGCCCAGTGGTACCCTATGGTTCGAGGACTGAACCCCACAACCGCCACCACCACCCAACAGGGTGAGACAACTTTACTACCTTCTGGTTCAATAACACTCTTAACCTAACACACGGCCCTATGTGGTTCGAACCTCCAAATTCCGGGGGATTAGGCTACCGGCTTTTATCATTGAACGGTAGATATTCGCGGCTATGGGGTCCACCCAATCATCACACAAATGTGTCATAAAACAGGGTGGAATGGATGAGCCCAATAGGCACGAGAACTTACTGATCAGCTATGTGAACGGACAATCCAAGTCGTAAGAACTGGAGTCTGGAAATACGTAAGGCCCTGATGGGTGATCTGTGGTATTGACCTGAGCGTTAGCGAAGGTTCCCAACTCTGAAGTTCGGTAATGATAGAAGGGCAAGATCCCTGACCATTAGAGTCCGCAACGCATCAATGGCAGCAACGTAAGCCGCTGGACAACCACCAGTCACATAGTAACCCACAAAATAAATCGATCAAGTTCATGGTTTTTCAAACACGATTTCAACTACGATGGAGAATCGCATATCTTGAGATCAATGATGACGAACCACAGTAAGATCATTATCAGAACTGAGGGAGCTCGCGGTCATTGATAGCTAGATTTTATGGGGGTTGACAGCCTGACTTCTGGAACCATGAGTAGCAGCGTAGACACAACGATGCTGCCAAAGTAGAGTCGAAGGTGAAAAAGACTACAGTCGCTCGATCAATCAGTCAAGTCTCCAGGTGAGACAACGCTGTGCACCGGATACTCCACAAAGGAGGAAAACGAGACCAAAATCACACAACCACAAACAACCTGGACAGGGTGATTATATGTCACCTGAACCGGAATTTTGTAAACGTCCAGCATCAAGATGATGATTGCGAGCACATCCGGTCAATGTGTACAGAAATTACATGTACTGTAAACCATTCACAGGTAGAACTCAAAATCCGAAAGAAATCCAGCAGCAGCAATGACAACAGCTAGATTCGATGTCACGGGGAAGTGTATGGATGGAAAATTTGCATCCATCAACGAATTTCCAATCATTCAACACATGGTTTTAAAAAGGTTTACATATCGATCGGCAAAAGGACATGGCTGATCACATGAAAGACCGAGAAGTGGTGTCACGGCCCTCAAAGAAATAAAAGTATTGTCTGATTACCTACA